ATTAAGTTATACTAATAATTGATTGATGGATATAGTGATACATGGTTTACGATACTTTTCTTAAAACTGTTTTAATTTAATGATTGCGTGTAGTATTACTGACTCAGCTTAGTTACTTTCAGTTTTAAGAAACAAACAATTTTTTTTACGAGACTGAAGAATGTGACAAACTGAGAGACAAAGAGACAGAGATAATGGCAGACACACTACACTGTAGAAGAGACAGAGAGACAGACAGGATGAATGCGAGATAGAGACAAAGACAGAGAGAGAGAGACTCGTGGACACCCATAATTATATACAAATACGTTTGTCTTTGAGCTTAAACATCCGTCTTTGCTTGTTAGTCCTTGTATTTGTCGATACTTATTTGTTTAGATCTGTTTGCACTTGCCATTAAACCTATACATGAGCTTATATTAGTATTTAAATCTTCCAAATCATTATTAGAATACCAGACCCCGAGTAGGTGGTGTTAGTGGAAGGTGTGTCGCCAGCGGGCAGGTAAAGGTATATGATAAGTATGGGTGAGCGGGTGGGCAGAAGCTCAGTGTGCGTCGGGCAGGTGGAGGAGAGAGTTGCTGTGTCTGGACTCGGGGAATTTTTTTTCTCTCTCTCTCGCTCCTCTTGCCTCGACTCTCCTCCTTACTGACTTTTTGGTTCAGATTTATTTATCATTTTTGAAAAAGCTATTTAAAAGCGTAGAAGTACATAAGTCGGTACGAGTGTTTTAGACTGATTGAAGTGTATTTAGGCGAGAGATATTATTTTAAGAGAAAATGGAAAACTGATATCATTAATTTCTGTGAAGCATTTCCTGCTGTGTTTGGAGATGAGTCTGCGAGAAAGTGAATTTTCGGTCTTCTGGGTGATAACATTAACTCGAAATGTTGTGTAAGATTATAGAAAAAAAAAGAATTTAAGAGTGGCATGTTTGCGGCTGAAATTAAACAATATGTGTAAATTTATGGCGCTAAATACATACTGGTGATAAAAAAGTGAATATTAGTGCGGAAAAAAAAGTAATTATCGAAGATTGAGTTTGAGATCAGAAGATAGAAGCAGTGATTTGATATTAAATTTATGAGAAGAACAAATGGCAGACTGTCAAATAAATATATTCATAATAAAATCTGTTATATATGTATCTATGTGTGTATCAGTGTATGTATTATTTGTGTGGCTGTGTGGTGCGTACGTGTTTCAAACATGTATTTAAATTTTGATTCGCTAACATCAAAATCATCTTCACAGAGATGCAGTTAGGAGAGACAGCCAAAACAAAACAAAAAATCCCAATCGCAAATTTCCCTCCGAATGCGAAACAATCACACAACAAAACAGGCACATAACCTCGAACAAAAAAAAAATAGATGAATAGATAAATAAATACAAATAACGATCCACAGAAAGAGAATGATACGGTCGATAACACTATCTTTAGCCAGTGTTAAATCCCCCTAACTTGTGTGAAGATGATCAGGACCCACACCCGTATCCCTGCCTGCCCTTATAAGGTTGGGTTCTCCACCAGGAGAGAGGGGGGGGGAGGGGCCGGGTGAACGAGAGGTGGAGGGGAGAGGGTGATGGGGAGGGGGAGGGAGCTTGACCATCTGTCAGGGGTCAGCTGTGGGGTCAGGCTTGTTTAGGGGCAGGGAAATACAGATATATAGGGTAACACACGGATTAAGAGACACGTGCGCGTACAAACAGGGACATGCATTGGAAAAAACGTACTTACAAACACACGCACGAAGTTTTTTTTTTTTTTTTTCTTTTTTTTTTTTTTTTTTTTTTACACCGACATCACAACAAAGTAAAAGTCGACGTCGCGAGCAGCATGTGTCTTCCTGTAAGTAGAATTCGAAGCGAGAAGAAAGACTAGTGAAAGTCGAGACAGATAATATGTAGATGGAGTTACGCGGAGGAACATCAGATCACTCGGCGAAGGAGGAAATGTGGGCGTGTCTGTCTGTCTGTCTGTCTGTCCTTCTTTGGCCCTTGTGTGTAAGAAGGCTTTGGCTGAGGGGGCGGGCCTAGTTTTATTATAGCTGTTATTGTTGTTATTATCCTTGCTTCTGTTGTTATTATTCTTGCTTCTGTTGCTATTTTTGCTATTCTGTCGTTATTATTCTTATCATTGTTATCATATTTGTTGTTTTTATTCATGTTACTGTTGTTATTATGGTTGATACTGTTGTTATTACTCCTGTTATTTTTATTACTAGTATAGTTATTGATATTGTTCTTCGTATTTTCATTGTTTTCTTGTTAGTTGATATTAGTGCAATTGATACTGTTATCATTATTATTGATTGTTTTTTTTCTTATTTAATACTAACCCCTGCTATTTTTCGACCAATTATTTTGTTGTTATTTCACTGTTTGCAATCTGTTCTTCTCTCTGCACGTTGCCAAAATACCACCCTAACAACTCATAACCAGCAATAACACTTCTGTTCCCTGAGTGAACATCGGCCTCAATAGCGATGATCAGTTGAACGGAGAACCTCTTTGTCATTCACTCCGATGAACAGATTGAACGCGAGTAAGAGGCAGAATGAACTCTTGAGAGAAATTACAGCGCGCGTGTGACAGAGAGAGGGAGAGAGGATGACACGGGCGCCGCACCTGTGTCTTTTAAGAGCAAAATTCCGGTTGTTGGGTCGCGGGGATGTCAGGATTTCGGTCGAGAAGGATGGAGGGATGTTCGAAAAAGCCTCGTGGGTGGATGGAAGAGGGATGATAATTATAGGGAAGGAGGAAATGGATAGGGTGAGAGTGTGAGTTGGAAGGCGGTGGGGGGGGGGGGCACCGAGGGGAGGAGAGAAGAGAGAGCGAGAGAGAGAGAGAGAGAGAGAGAGAGAGAGAGAGAGAGAGAGAGAGAGAGAGAGAGAGAGAGAGAGAGAGAGAGAGAGAGAGAGAAAACGAAGAAAGTTGTAATAGAAAACGTATTGGGGTAAAGAAAACGGGTATTGGAGGCTGCTGTTGGTCACGTTTTGAGATGGAGAGCGACCTCTGCAGTGGCTGGTCCGGGGGAGGAGGAGGAGGGGGAAGGGGAGGGGGAGGAGGAAGAGGAGGGGGGAGAGAGAAGGAGGAGAGGAGGAGAGGGGAGAAGAGAGCAGGAGGGAGGAGAGGGGGAGAAAAAGAGAAGCAGCAGGAGGAGGAGGAGGAGGGGGAGAAAGAGAGAAGGAGGAGGAGGAGAAGAGGGGGAGAAAGAGAGAAGGAGGAGGAGGAGTGGTGAAAAGAAGAAGGAGAAAGAAGGAGAGGCAGGAAGGGAAGAAAGAGGAATGGGGGGAAAGGGAAAGAGAGGAGAAAGAGAAGGAGGAGGAGGAAGGAGGGATGGGGCCAAGAAGGAGGTATTCGGGGAGAGTGAAAATCATAGGCAAGAGTGAGGGGGGTGGGGGTGGGGTGGGGGGGAGATAGTCGTCATGCCAAGATGAGCAAGTAGGTGATGAGGCCGGGGAGTCCATAATGATAAAAATGATCACGACCGATTCTGCTTTTATCACTCAGCTCTCGAAATGCGGACTGCGAGACCGATGAAGCAATTCAGAATTAATCACCCAAAGAAAAAACAAGCGATTCTTTTTTTTTTCTCTCTCTCTCTCTCCTTTCGTCTCTTTCTCTTTCACCATCGCACAATCAGTCACGGATGACCCTCCACGCCCCTCCCCCCCTCCCCCCTCCCTTCCCCCTCGTTTAGAAAGTGAGGGCGCTTTGCACGCGGGAAGGGAGGGCCCGATCACCCTGCACGCAGTTCTAGAGTGGCGTTACAGGCGTATTTCTAGTACAAATTGGAGTATGGTTCTGAAAGCGCTGTTATTATGGAGAACTTTTGTTTTTCTAGGAGTAGAAGTTATTTATTGGGTATTCAGTTATTTTTTAATGGGTTAAGCTAAAGTATCGGAATGGATACTAACGGGAATGTAGATACTTTTAAGAAATACATATTCATTGTAGATGCTTTTAAGAAACATATACATTGTAGATGCGTTTAAGATATACATATTCAAACCGATTTGCATAGCGTAGAGTGGAGGCGCAAACAATACGTAAACAGCGACCATAAAATGACAGAATAAGGAATGGTAGAGAGCAAAAAAAAAGAGTGGGGGGGGGAAGGAGAAAGGATATTGTATGTTAAGTAGGACCTTTAACAGATTGTATCCAACCATCTTCAATATTCTTTTACGTAGAATTATTATAGTATTAAAACTGGATTTTTAGTACTTTGATAAACTACTTCAATAACTAATTCAAAGTAACTGTAACGAAACTCTAACAAAGAGAGATATAGATTAGGACATTCCCAATCGAGAGTACTTTTGACTTCAAATTCCAGTTAACAGAAAATATTTCGTATTGTGAAAGGAAAGAGACGAAGTTAGTAGGACCTACACAGAGAGGAGAAGGAGGAATAGGGAGAAGGAGAGAAAGAGAAGAGGAGGAGGAGGAGGAGGAGGAGGAGGAGGAGGAGGAGGAGTAGAACCGAGCAAATATTGAAGACTATTTCCAGAATAGTCCGTAATTAATAACATTTTTGCTTTTTATCCAGTCCATTAGGGAAGGGCAATTACAAGAAATGCCCGAAAGAGGCTAATTAGTTAACCAGTCGTTAAGGAAGAGATTGGCGAGCGAGTTTGTATCTTGGCGCGCGGGCGTTGTCGCTGGAACTCTGGACTGTGTCTTTGGGATCTCTGGAATCTAAGTCGGGTTCTCGCCGTGACCTGGAATCTCAAAAAAGGGGGTGGGGGGTTATCCATTTCTCTCTCTCGATTTTTCTTTTTTTTTCTTTTCTTTCTCTTTTTCTCTTCCCTTCGATTCTCTTCGATTCTCTCTCCCTCCCTTTCTTTTCGATTCTCTCTCCCTCCCTTTCTCTTTCTATCTCTCCCTCTTCCTCTCTCCCTTCCTCCCCCTCTCTCCTTCCCTTCCCTTCTCTCTCTCTCTCTCTCTCTCTCTCTCTCTCTCTCTCTCTCTCTCTCTCTCTCTCTCTCTCTCTCTCTCTCTCTCTCTCTCTCTCTCTCACTCTCTCCCTCCCTCCCTCCCTCTTTCTCTCTCTTTCTCCCTCATTCTCTCTCTCCTCCTTATCCTTCCCTCCTCCTTCCTCCTTCCCTCCCTTCCTCTCTCTCCTCTCTCTCTCTCTCTCTCTCTCTCTCTCTCTCTCTCTCTCTCTCTCTCTCTCTCTCTCTCTCTCTCCCTCTCTCTCTCCCTCTCTCTCTCCCTCTCTCTCTCCCTCTCTCTCTCTCTCTCTCTCTCTCTCTCTCTCTCTCTCTCTCTCTCTCTCTCTCTCTCTCTCTCTCTCTCTCTCTAACCGACCGCATATCCAATCGTAAAAAAACAGACAAAGAAACTGAGAAAACCAGACAGACAGACCAAGCGAAAACCAGACACAGACAGACACGCTCCCATCTCGCTTGCATCATCTCAGAAACAGTATCACGTGCCCTTTATCACGGTCGAAATTGAAGATTGAGAGTGTTGCATGTTGCAGGCCAGATCTCGATAGCCTCCTTGAGTTGCACGCCGTCATGTTCTCCATGAAGAGAGGAGGGGGGGGAGGGTATAGAAGGAAAGGAAAAGTCTGTTGCAGATGTTGACGTTGCTGTTATTATTATTATTATTATTATTGTTTTTATTATTGTCATTGTTATTGCTGGTGCTGGCGTTGCCGTTGCTGTCATTGCTATTGGTGTTATCGTGTCTGTTGTTTTGTTTGTTATTGTTGTTATTTTCGTTTTTTTTTTCAATTTAGGGAAGAGAGAAGGGAGTGAACGCCGTCTTTCTTTCTTTCTTTCTTTCTTTCTTTCTTTCTTCATTTCAGCCTTATAAACCTTTCTCAGTTTCGTCTCTTTTCCATATTGTTTCTCTCGTCTTGTCCACATCCGGTACTCTCTGGTCCTCCTCCTCCTCCTCCTCTTCATCCTCTTGTACCTCCTCCTTAGATAGTCTCCTCCTCCTCCTTCGCCATCTCTTGATCGGCGTCCCATTTCCTCCTCCTCCTCCCTTTCTCCTCCTCCTCCTCCTCCTCCCCCTCCTCCTCCCTTTCTCCTCCTCCTCCTCCTCCTCCCCCTCCCCCCCCCCCCCCCCCCCCCCCCCCCCCCCCCTTCCTCCCTCCTCCTCCTCCCTCCTTCCCCCCCCCTCCCCCCCCCCCCCCTTTCTCCTCCTCCTCCTCCTCCTCTTCTTCTTCATTCTCCTCCATTTCCTCTTCATTTCCCTCGTCCTCTTCTTCCTCCACGTCTTTCTCCTCCTCCTCCTCCTCCTCC